AAGCAGTTTAATTTGATTTTCGTTTTAATAAAAGGAAGTTGATAATTAGCTTGTGCGTCCTGGTTTTACGCTTAGAAGAATAGGAAAGAAAATGAGAACACGCAGTACAGAGATTTATTACTTGATCACTCGTCCGGTACTGGCTTAGCTAAGTTAGCTTTGGTGATCAGATAGAAGCGGTACTTTCCTCGTGTTAACGTCTCGGACTAGGATTACGTCATGACCGTTTTAAACGGTGTCACATCTCCTTGTAGCTCCTTGTGTATTCTCTTTCTGTTGCGTTTTGCATCAGTATTTCTTACAGTCATGGGCTCCTGTGCCAGTGGGCTTTAACCTCATTCATAGCCTCTCTACTAGCTCGATACATCTTGTTATGTCATTGCTTGCTTATACGCCTATAGTTAATATTAAAGAAAGTGAAGACTGATCATCGCAGTTAATTTTCCAATTTAAGGAATTGGAAAGAAGAAGCCTGAAAAAATCAGGGTTTCAACGGGATTTGAAGCCCGTTGAAGCCCGTTGAAGCCCTGATTTTTTCAGGCTTCTTCTTTCCAATTCCTTAAATTGGAAAATTAACTGCGGTGATCAGTCTTCACTTTCATCTACTACCGCAGTTCATATATGAATTATTTCATATAAACTTCACATCATAGTTAATATTGTAACAATCTTTTTCATTTTAATAAACCAAAACTTGGTTTTCGAGGATGTTAACAATCCTCGGACTCATGTTGTTCACGTTAGTAGCTCGATAAATAAATGATATACGACATTCAGTTCAGTGACATCAAAATTGCCACTGTTTACAGACGATCCATTTTCCAAGTTTAATGGCTCATAGCCACTCTGATTGAGTTACGGTTACTACTTAGAATGATAGAAACTGATATTGGATTTCTCGTTTGTATTCGTTATTTTACCCGCGAGAAGAAATCTTGGACGAGTGTCGCCTTGTAGCGCTTGTGTGATCGTCCTTGGACACAGTAAGAAGAAACACAGTCCAATAAACGCCACTTTTGTTTTCGTTTTTAAGGTGAATGTACGAGTTTAAGTGGAATACGTAACATGTCCGTAGCGTTATGGTTGTCAAGTGAAGCGTTCTTTAGGTCTACGATCATGCAAATGCCATAACCTAAAGATCCAATATATTACCTAAGTATAGCTAAAGTCAGTTAGAAACTACATACTTGATAATTTTTCTTTGTATTTGGGAAATTTTGTTATATGCCTCAGAGGCACTGTCCAGAAAAGCTCAAAAAACTTTCCCAATTGCATCATAAC